CTGCGTTTGATAAGCCCTGTATGATGAGCTGATTGAAAAATAGCTCTCATTTTACAACATAAGGCTTTTCTGTAAACTTTTAGAAAATGGCTTCAGATGCGCAAAAGTGGTCTATTTGCACACTGTAATTTGACATAATTTCATAATAAATCGTTGCTGCAGCGACGTGCACGATAATTATGATGAGCATGTTCTGAAACCTCCTTTAAGCAAAGTTTGGAGCAAGTTCGATTTTCGAGCCTACACCGTATGTTAACGGTAACCGAGAAAATGCGCTATCGTGCACAGCTGATTTGGTTTTATGTTCAGCAGGTCAGATAACCGTCCCAGATGAAGTTTTATACAAGGTTTTCACGTCCTGGGCCAACTGATGTGGGATAGCGTCACGGTAGTGCCAGCTAACGTCGGCTGCTCAGAGAATCGCCGAGGGTAGGTGGCCATGCGATTTATAGGCAAGTGCTCAGATAACCGCCGGGGGCAGGCGGTCCGCAAACTCGCGCTTTTCTGCAGGCGGTCAGCAGGATTTCGGGGCGTGGCCAAATCTTCAGCGGGCGGTATTTGCGTTTTCTGCAAGCGGGCATCAATACAAAGTTTTCTGCAAGCGCTCGTCAAACAATCTCTTTCAGCGAGCGCTGGCCAAACTTTCAGCAGGCGCTCAGACTCTTTTTACGCAGTTTCGGGCGTACGCTGAGAAAAGATACTCTATGTGGCAGAGGTGCCATCGATGGTTTTATTACCCAAGTTTGGGGTACTTTCTTTCAGAGGAAAGTACCTGAGGGCTGTGCGGTCCTTCAAAAAGGACCGTGCGGCTCTCAATAATTTTGCATGTTCTCGCGGAAAATCCGCGAGAATGCGGCTACTGTGCCGCAACTTATGTATAGAAAAACCGCGATAGATCTTCGAGCGTTCGTCTAAAAATTGGCCAAAATTATTCCAAATTTCTGCAAGCGGACCACAAAAAATCAGCGAACTATTTTTCCGGTGCCCGCTTGCTCAAAATTCGCATGGCCGCTTGCCCCCGGCGATTATCTGAGTGGGCATCGCTAAAATAGTTCGTTGAGTTCTTGCGGTGCGCTTGCAAATATTTGGAAGATTTTTGACCATTTCTTAGAGGAAAACAATTTCGGAGAACAATCGCGGCTTTTGCAGATTAGTTGCGATTAGTTGCGGCGCAATGGCCGCATTCTGGTGGACATTTCGTGAGAGTATGCAAAATTGTTGAGGGTCGCACACTCCTTTGTGAAGGACCGCACAGCCCAAAGATACCTTCGGCTGAGAGAAGGTACCCCAAACTCGGGTAATTGAACATCGATGAGACCTCTGCTAATCTTACCTTTGCTCGGCGTACGCTCGAAACTGCGTAAAAGAGTCCAAGCGCACGCCGAAGGTTTGGCCAGCGCTCGCTGGAAGAAATTATTTACCGAGCGCTCGCAGAAAATGTTGTATTGCTGCACGGTGGCAAATTATGGCGAGTTTGCGGTCCGTGCCCCGTCGATTATCTGAGTGACTGCTGATGGCTGCTAACGGTTGCTGGCGGCTGCCGACGGCGCGATATAAAGGCGCCCTTAATTTTAGACTCAGAAAAAGAGCAGTATAGGAATACTGTTTTCCGTTAACGGGGCAATAATAACAGACGACTCTAATGAAGCCGAGCGTTTTGCCAGAGTGTTTTAAGATGCATTTTTAAGCGATTGATTTTAAGCGATTAAAACCATAGTATCGTTAACGGCAGAAGTTACAGCATTCCTTGTTGTGCTTTAATGAAGTATGGACCTTGGTTGAACAGTAAGGAAATCTACAAGTCACGTAAAGCTGTGGCGCCGATATTTGTTTAGAAATATGAGAACAAACCGAACAACAGTTGCAACGAAGTGCTGCAATGCGATCGACACGTGCGACATCGCAATTTTTCATAGCTTCATTTACAAAAAGGAAAACCACAGTTTCAATGATGATGTGTATTGTGTACAACATGATACTTTTGGATACTATTAGAAACTGAGTTCTTGTTCCTACCTTTTAAAAAAGCACAGAAGTCCTTCTCAAACGACAAAATTCAAACACTTTGAATTCAGTCACTCAGCACTTCGAGTATAGAGTCTTTCTGACCATGACAAGGCCCCTTTGTTGGCTAACGGCTGAAAGTACTTTTTCGCCGCGCGCGATTTTGCGGGCCGAAACGTGTTAACACGTTTCGGACCGGTGCTGCACATGGTGCAGCACGCGTCTTTCAAAGATCCTTTTAGTGTTTGCAGGAGGGTTTTCTTTTTGTCTAGGATTATCAAGTCAAAGGCCTAATCCTCCTTTTCAAATGACTCTCTAAGGCTGTGCCGCCGATATTTGTTTAGAAGATGTGAGGACAATTCGAACAACAGTTGCAATGAAGAGCGGCAACGCAAACGACGCGTGCGACGTCGCAACTTTTCTTTGCTTCAAATTCAAAGAGAAAAACCATAGTGGTAATGATGATGTGTATCGGTACAACATAAATACTTTTGGATACAATTAGAAACTGAGTTCTTGTTCCTATCTTTCAGAAAAGCACAGAACTTCTCAGGCTACAAAATTTAAGCACTTCGAACTCACTCAGAACTTCGGGTATGAATCTTATCTGACATGCTGATCACAGATGTAGCACACAGTATACGCACTAAGGTCCCTTTGTTGGCTAACGGCTGAAAGTACCCTCTTTTCGCCGCGAGCGACTTCGCGGTCCGAAACGTGTTAAAGAAGGAACCGTTCTCCTCTGCTACTGATTTCCGTCCCATCAGCATTATCATTATTCGCTAGACGTTTCGAAAAGATACTGAAAGAGAATATTGTTAGGCATCTCAGTACCGTCTATTCCTTACAGTATAGCGGGCGGAACTTTGCCGACGTTTGCCAATGTATGCGCGTGGCAATTTTTGATAACTAGGGATTACAAAAACCAATGCTCTGAACTGGAATTGTAACAAGTTTTTCAACGTGTTCAGATGTCTGTAGGGCCACGCCCGCTATACGCATGGAAAACGCCTACATACAGCAATAAAAACATTTTTTCCGTGCAACTTGGGTTCCAGAGTGGTAAGACTACCACAAGGTCAGTTGTAATGTCTCAAGGATTGGAGCCAAAAGTTTAATAATGGACAGAATGCCAACGTTTTTTTAGATCACCAAAGCTTTTGTTGAGGCATTACACCTTAAATTGTTGCAATATCATTGAGGCAGTTATATCCACGTATTGTGGCGCCAAATCCTTCCTAAAAGGCAGTGTCTCACCAAAGTCGGGATAATGCGTGTTTCCACATATTTTGTTAGAGGACCCCGTAAACAGGCGATCGCACCCGATCGCACCAAGTCCAACTCAATCCGGGCCCTTCTCCGCCAAGAAAACCTCAAAATGGCCGGTAAAGTGCGGTTTGATCCGCACGGCCTACGCTCACGGTTTCCCCTTACGCGATTCAACATGTCCCTCCACTTGGCGTCCACCTCCATGGTGTTGCTACTACGGTGGCGAAGGGGGGGGGGGACACGGGGAAGGCGACGATGCGCGCAGAATGCAAGCGCTTTTGCTACTTTTTACAAAATTTTACTTTGGCATCAAATAGCGTATCTGCCTCCTCTCCCCCCCCCCCCCTCCCATCCTTTACCTTGGCTCCGTGTTACTCTAGCACCGAAGAGTTTGAAAGGAACAAGATTTGGGGATTGTTGCCTTCCGCACCACACCCTGGCGAAGGCTAGGCTAAGAAGGCACAGCTAGCCCGCTTTGCTTCCACGGGGCTCTAGAAAACGGGGTTTTCGTGCATTTGTGAGGAACTGAATCGAAGCTGAAGGAGCTGAAGCGAATTCGTATTCCGAAGGATTTTCGAAGCGATTTCTCGCTTTAAAAGCAACGTCCCTGTTCAATATGTTATTACATATATTGCGGCCTGGATTTCGATGCGTTTTTTCCTACTAGAATATCTGACACTAGTGGAGGAATTAGGAATATAATTATATTCCTAACTAATAAGCGCTTTCCTGCAAAGCTGTCACCTTTGAGACCGTTTTGAGGAATTAACGGGTGTAGGGCGTTAGGCGACAAACCCAATTTTTTGGACCCCAAAGAACTCCCCGTGCAAAACGTCTCCTCCGCCAAAAACAGGGGGGTGGGGATCGGGGCCGATACACTACCCGACGCCAATGAAAAAATGGTCATAGTTTTGAGTTACGGGATTTACGTTGCTTGCGTTTTGCACATTTTGTCGCCTAACGCTTGCCCTCCTCTTTGCTTGATCCCTTGATGACGTCTTTTTCTTCAAAATCATTTATTTTCCTTGAGAATTGATGAAAACGTGTCAGTGTTTCACTGACTATATAACCGATAGTGCCAAGCATGTTTCTGATAAGAACAAATGATGTGTTGAATTCATGAAATTTGCGATGAACCAAAAGTTAGGGTTTATCAAAAAATGCATTATCTCGAAAACTTATTTGTTTTCATCAGAAACATGCTTAGCACCGTTGCATCAGATAATCAGTACAATTTTGGTACGGCACTAAGGACTTTCAAGAAAGAAAAATGACTTTGAAGGAAAGATGGTCGGCCGCCGGGGATCATCAGGCGATCATGCAAAAAGCTGGCCACAAATCCTCTTTGAGGCCTGATCTATCCGAACTGGTTTTACCAAGACATTGTAGTACTTACTGAAGCAGAGCAGATCCTTTTCCTTCGTCAAATGATTAGGTTACCTATGGTTAACCTAATGGTTACCTAAAAGTCATAAAAAGAATGTTTGCATGTCCTTCATCTTGTCCTATGCTCTCTTCGGGAAACGCTAGTTGAGTTTTCCACCTTTAGAGTCTGTCAGTGTAAGCTGAGCATATTCAGTTTGATTAACACCCTAATGAATTAGGCATCTGTATCACTTCGTCCTAGCGTATAATTCACCCAACCTCATAGCCTGTATTGGTCGATATTGGGATTTTGACAGATTTCCGTGGGCCAGTGTAATTGTCAAAGCAGTACTGAAATAAGCGCTGAAATACGTTATTTATTAGGATAATAAAATTAGCTTAACTTTTACAGATGTTTGCATGCATTCGAGTGAGCAAATAGCTTTTGAGTGGCTATTCGGACGATATTCAATAGTTAGAAATGCAATTAGTTGTTACTGTAGTTAGAAAGCATCCAAACTCTAGCGTACGGTAGAAACAATCGGGAGAGAGTGCAACTGAGTCGAAAAATTGTTACCAGCGCCTTGAATAGGAGCTCAAGACACTCCAGCCTAACAAAACAAATATATAACTAAGATATTATGATGATACTGTTAGGACTATCAAACGAGAAGAAGTTCACTATTAGAATGCGGTAAAGTAAGCCGAACTTCCTCGAATAGTCACTGTTTCGGATGTCATTGCCATTTCCGTACATACCGGGGTATTTGGAGGAGGTACAGGTAACTCAGCTGACTCATCTGGATTCTGAAAATATCTCTATTCTAACAAGTCCAAATTGGATCGTTCATTTTTCAAATGATTTACCAGTGGCTTTGTCGGTGCATTGAGCTTGTCTGCGGGAAGTTCGCCGGAAATTTCCATACTGGCAGCTAGCTGCTTAGCAGTCATCGAAAGAAGAGGTCCCACAGATCCACTGAAATACATAAACCCTAGTTTTTTTTTATCTCAATGTAGATAGATTCAAACTCTTTGCAATCATCATCGCTAGGTGGCATTTCCACATCAACCTCATCCACAGCTTGTTTTGCCATATTCTGAACTAGAAACTTTTTGAAGAACCCTAGTTGGCCTCCACTCACTTCCTGTTCGGTGCCAGGCGCTGTATTTTGGTCGAGGAAGACAGCTTCATTATAAGCATCAGCATCGACTCGGCTATAAGGTGCAGCATTAGAGATGTCTGATAACCAAAAAGCACTATCTTCACACATCACAAACGTTCTTCCCGGGCTAGTGCCAATGCCGGTGCTGGTGGAGCCATCTAAAGAACAGCATTCTAACGGGATCACTCCTATCTTGAGCAACAATACAATAAAAAAGTTAAAATCCGTTTGGTACTTGTTATAAGTGGCAAAAAATTGTTCACAAATCTGTACCTACTCAAAATTGACCAGTGTGTGGCAAATTATGGGATGGCGATATACTTTTCCAAATTTCGGACTATGATTTATAATAAAACAAAAAATATGAGGTACTACTTTCATTATGGGCATGTTGACATCGGCGAGAAAGTTCGAGGAGACTGATTGATTTTCCGCCATTTTTGAACTTCAATGGTAAATTTCATAAGAAATCGGGAAGAAAAAAAAACAACCCCCGATTACATATGCTAAAATATTTTCAAGTTACCTGTTTTCTTCTCATTTTCATCTTTCACTGTCCCTTTCGGAGATGTTTCAAACAATGGATGATATTGAGGGAGAACCATTTTCGTGTCGTCGAATTCTGATGAATGTTTAGACAGCAATGTAATGTGGAAAGACCTTGTTGTACATACCGCTAACCGCGCTTTCAGAAAAAGGACTGGATACGGTCATACGTCGAAGCGGACGAGATTTCATCTTGCTTTTGCATTTTTCAGCAAGCAGTAGTGAATGGACGTCATCAGATTTATTCTGCTGCTTCTCATTTGCTGGAAAAATGGAAGAAAAATTTAGATGGTACAGTACGTCACCTAGAGATGAAGCTTCAGTCCAAGCTCTGTTCCTCTTGAAGTGTCATAAAATTTGATATGAGGGTAGTGGCTCTTGATGTTATTTATCACTGAGATCAGTTTTCAAAGTCGCGTCAGCTTGACGTCTGTATTAGTGTCATCAAACCAGGTCCTTGATTCTTTTGTGAACATCAAATTATGCTGCCACTCGAATCTGAAAGGGTGATAAGCCTAAAAACTGAAAATTACTCACTTTCGATTGCGGAGAGACTCATAGATTTGACTGGTGTTGCTTCTCCTATTTTAGTCGAGCACAGTGGTGGATTGAAAGAATGAGCTTCAATAAGTGAGAAAATTTGCCCAGTGCTTCTGAAGTGAGATAAATCTGCGAAACATAGGAAAGAGCCTGTGCATGCTAGCCAATTCAGGAAGAAAGCTTCTGCCTCTAAGGTTTACAGTTTTAGCCCGACTACTCAAAAATAGTACGATTTAATTTGGTGGTCGCAGCTTTAAGCAGCCTCTATTTCCAAAGCTAATTCACAATGAGGTTTGTTGTCTGAATAACAATTAATTCACACATAATGGGTCTCTTCGGAAGAAGTATTTTATTTTTGCCACAGCGCAGCTAATATTGTAATACGTAACATAAGCCTTGCACCAAAATTCTTTGAAATTCCATAATCCACTCCAGGTTCAATGAATCCGTGTGATATAATTTAAATCAGAAAGAAAAAACTTTAGCCTTCTTAAACATACTCAAAGCAAGAGTAGTCATCGTTAAATTGCGGCAATAGTACCTGTTGAAGGCAAACACTCAAATTGCTCTTTTATCTTTTAATTCCAAAAAATGCTGAAAAGCCCAGAAACTCTTATATAGTTTGGGTTTCATAATTTACGCTTTCTAACTAAAATAAATCTATCTCATAGGACGTTTTTACGAGGCTTTGTAGTTTTTTTATTTCCGAGTTTTGATATTGTTCGTAATGAAAACTCAGTGTATACGTTATAATACTGTATGTATTATATACACTGAAAAAATGCTATACAGATTGAAGCGCTGTTCTGAGCATTTTAAAATGATTTTGTTGGAATTTTTGATTCAAGAATTATGTTCTAACCTAATATCAAAAAAAACGAGAAGAAACATTCCTAACCCGACTGCCGAAGGTATGCATGAAACGCGTGCTGAGGAGATGTGCTCGGTTTCCGTTTCATTCCTTGCCTCGTCCACTCTTGGATCAAGATTTTCCTGAATATACAACGTAAGTGTAGTACAAGGTTCACAATAACCGAAAATTACGAAAAGGGCCAGTCAATTACAGCATTGCCTCTCTCCTGGTTTCCAACGGTTATTTGTGGTGGACTTGCATTTACAGCGGAATTGACAGGACTGGAAGGCGATTGCGCGCATCGAGGAGCTTCGTAGGGCTGAGAATCTTCATTGCGCTTGCCACAACCACAGCACGCTGAAATCAAGCAGAGCTTACGGAAGAGTAATACATTTAATAGTTACAGTGTTACCACAACTACTGCAAAAATACACTCGAACTACGATGACCCTAACCAACGATGCGCACACTTAAAGAACAACATATCCGAGATTCTTACCAAATCAGTAATCCTCGTAAAATCGAGGCGAATCGTCTTTATCCATCCTAAGGTCAGAGCAAAACTCGTCACTCTCGCATAAGATCAAGGAAAGTACAAGATGCAGATCAAGATTATCTTGCTGAGACAACACAATTCGCATTTTTCAAGGCTCATTAGAAGCGAAACATCAAAAAGTGTAGAACAAGCTCCATAGACAAATGCTTATTTCCTCAGAAATCGTGATATCAGAATCAGAATGTACCCAAAAAATCAAACTATGCCATAAAAAAATCATGCAAGCCACGTCATCGTGTAGTAGACAATGTTTAGGCTACGATTCAAATTTTGAGCCACCTATACTTTTAGATTTGGGCATCAGACTTCAAGCGGACCACGGGATGCAGCGAAATGAAGTTTAAAATAAAAATTTCAAATCATGTGGTGTGATTTAAACACAGAATCTATAAAACTAACCTGTGAAAACGCCCATCAACGCGAGGAAAAGGTTGTCGGCAACTTCTTGACATCAAAATAAAAGGCTGTAGGGTGCGTGGCCGGGATACATCGACTGTAGATCATACTGGTGTTTTTCCCGGAAGTGCTCTTCGAGATCTTTCATAGCGCTCGTTTTTCGCAAGACTTCATAAATACTTGGCAGCTTAGGTACGCGAAATTATGAACATTCTTCCGATTATGTAAGTTCCATTCAATCTGCTTTGCACTCAACGCTCTGGTTGAATAAATTCATGCTTGAAGTAAGATGATAAGCAAATGCACCCCATCATTCGCCTTATAATCATTCTTAATTGTAAGTAAAATCATGATCACGTCTAAGTAAAACCACTTTTTCTTTTGGGGTAACCTCAAAATAAAGGAGATAAATCAAATCTAGTCACACCACCCCAGATACAAAGTTTGTCAGTTGAGTGATATTCAGTCATCCGGTTATTTGAATACATCATATAGTCGATTTGTCATTTCACAACAGAGGAACGATAGCAATTGCCAGCCGCTGGTACCAATGCACTATTTGCCTCCACAATTCGCAAATTGCGAACTTATAAAAAATAGTAGATATAAAATTAATGCCCTACTCTTACTCAATAATCTTGCTTATCCCGGTGGTATGGGCAGTTTGGTGATGTTCTTGCAGGAATAAGCTAAAAATACTTGAAGTCTTACCTTTGAGACCTTTTTTTGACATTTTCAGCTGATTTTCACACCCCATTTTCAAGCAAACACAATCAATACGATTCTCCTGTCTAGATGAAAGCATAAAAGAAGGAAATGCTCTAAATTTCTGTGTGCAAACGGACAAAAATGACGGTGAAGTATGCGCGAGTTATTGACACCCACCAGCTATCGTTCCTCTTGCTCGCCACCCTAACAAAAGCATTATTTAAACGTTGATTCGGAGGGAAAAAAGGCTAAATTAACTTTGATTTTACTCCCGCTTTCGCGTATAAAGGTATTTCAACGAAATTTCATGTGCTGTTTTCTTCATATTCTATTTGTTTGTTATTTTCCGTTTTCGTTTCGATAACTTTTATTATTTAAATAATTTCCCGCGTCATTAGTGGTTATTTTTGGTAAGAAAAAACTGCTGCAGTTTTCTATTTTTGATCCCTATCGCGTGAATATACTGAAGCGAAAAAGTTGAAGTGGAACTAATTTTCAAAAGCCTCTCAAAGCAATGCCAAAGACATATCATGATATGAGCCAATTTGCAAAACGTCTTCCGTTGCCGGGAATCGAACCCGGGCCTTACGGGTGAGAGCCGTAAATCCTAACCACTAGACCACAACGGACACATGCTAGGCGTAGGAAGAACATCTCTGAAGATGTACGCCCTAATGATTATTACTTATCAATTTTTAGTCTTTGATTTATAGAGAAACTAGTAAACTTACTTATGTTTGAATTACATAAACTGTGATATGTACGATTTTCGGAGCTCTCACTCACTCAATCTAATTGTAGAGAATTAATTGTGAATGCGGTTATTATATGCGATAGCAAGACCTTGTCTTCTCCTGAGAAGAAGCGAACTTGTTATTACTCCTGTGGGCACTTTCAAAGGTGCCTAATTACCTCTCAAAACAAACATATCTATCAACCTAACACAGAACTTTGATTTTTTTTTCTTCTTTGTGCATTTCGGGAGTATCGGAAACCAAAAAGTACGAAGACCTTGATAATAAAAACGTTGTTCCGAGATTTAGCAAGCATTTTTCTAGAAATCACAGCAGAAAAAAGTGCTTCATGCTGCTCATTGGTTAGGGAATAAAGCTATGATTCGTGACTGCAAAATTCTTGGATTGCCAAAAACTTGTGAATGGTATGAAGACTCTTTTGGAAGGCAGCCAGGGTAGATTCTCACTACAGTTGCAGATCTGAATGTCCAGACCAGGTCAGCTTCAACCACTAAATTTCATCTATATCGGTAAATCAATTATGTTGTTGTCATCTGAATGTTCCATGAGACTGCTAATGGAGATTGCTTTCAGTGCTGAATTTCAATGTTGCGCGTGGAAGCTTCTTTTTTGCATGCTCAACTTTCCGCATAGGGTCCGGATAAAATTCTCATTTTACTCATTCTCAGCGATTAATCATTGATCATGTCTGATCTGTTCCCACCATCGATAATTCGAATCCGTTGGGATTCTTTGTCTGCTAGGCAGGTGTTACTAACATCCGACCAATCACACTAGCATTTTATTGTGCGGACAGTGACGCCACATTGGCGCAATCGAGATTGATGGGCGCTTAACAATCGGGTGTCGAAAGCCCCGTTGAAGTGATTTACCCTAACAAGAAAAACGATTTCATGGTTTTTAAGAGCTGGTAATAGTGAGCAGGTTGTTCTTGCCACTCCAGTGTGCTACAGGTCATAACATCGTTTTATCAATAGCGTAAGAAACACTGGCCAAAATTACGCATTTAAATAATGTAAATTTAGTATGATCATGAGGATTCTGCATTTTGACACATCTTCTACGTAATATCTTCAACCAAAATCACAAAATCTCTGCTTTTTGAAAATTCTGATTCTCATCTCCCAGATTCAGCAGTAATAAGACCCTCCTTCAACGTACAGTCGAATCATTTCATATCATGTGTGCACCCGCACACACCGTCCACCTTTGGCGTCATGCTGGACTTGCGATCGCAAAAACGCAAGAGAGCGACCAATTGCTATCGCTTGCATCATTTTGAGGTGAATAGTACTCAAAAACAAAAGAAAACACTGAGAACCCAACAAAAATAATCAACTGAAGTATTGCCTCCTCCCAGAATCCAAGACGGGAGCCAAAGGTGGACGGTGTGTGCAATGACACACATGTTCATATGAAATGATTCGACAGTAAACTGCACTTATTATATGCAGCTTGTGGAAGGCCAAATTATCATTGGCACAGTCAGGCAAAATGCATTCTTGAAGTAAATGTACAATCTTGCCCACACTGTATATAGAGTGACAACATGTTGGAAAGCAAATTTCGTTTTCTCTTTATAGTAGGAGGTACAGGCCCTCCAAAGTAAAACATGTTCTAGACAACCTGAAGAAACTTTTCCTTTGTGTCCCCGACTTCATCGTTGACTCGTGGATTTTTTCCTGTCACATTTGCTCCTGTATCCACTAGAAGTAACTGTGTAGCGTATTACTCCATAAGCGGATCAGAGTGTTTGCATTAGGGCCAAGTGCGATAGAAAATATGTGCGAATTTAGCCTGTACTTGACTCCCTGCTGCGATGGGTCAGACCCATCGGGGCGATGCATTTTCAAAGGTCAGTGTAGAATTATCGTCATTCAGCCTGTAGCCCACTCTCATTCAGGAAGAGGTCCGCGGGCGATGGGGCCCTTCATAAATGAGGCGGCACATTCAAAGGCGCCTGGTTGTGAGAAGCGGGACGCTAATTATGCGTAATGGTGTTTATCCTGCAACGCTGTGCTTGAACAGGCTAATGTCACATTCGTGGCTGTGGAAACTGACCAGTCGCTAGTGCTGAGAAAAGTGTCAGATGCCAGTGATTGGTTGAAATCTCGAAATGTTTTGCCATTAATAGATAGCCTGCTTCGGGGTAAATGTGTATGACGTGTTCACAGGTAGAGGAATCTCTGAAAACAGCACTTCTCGGATTACCGGATGATTTCTGTGACAGATCTACCATCCCTGTATTCGTAGCGATTTTACCAGAAAAATCTTTGTCATCTTTTTTTGAATGGAAACATGAGAATTAGCGCCACATCTATTGAATGAGCAGGAATCAAAATGATTTTTCCATAAAGATTAGGTTGACGATGACCTCTACAAACTTACCATTATATTATTCTCCTACAATTTTTCCGGAAATTGTTGAGAAGTTTCGAAAATTATCACTAACATTGAGCTTGTCGAAAAGTTCTGTAGGACGCACATTATGAAGATTTTAACTTTTAGATGTTTCTTCGTATTCAGGGCTCGGCACGAGGTGGCTTACAAGCAAGCTGGATATCGTTTTTGGGACAAAAAGCAAGGGGGGTTTCGTTTTTGTGACCGAAGAAAATTGGCGACGGCGACCTTTTTTTTTTTAGTCGACGTTTCGCTTTTTGGGGGATTTTGGGGAATTTTTCAGGTTTTTAGAGGAAATTTGGTTGAGGGTCAAAGGGGACTTCGTAAAAATTCCCAAAAGTCAAGAGGGACTTCGTTTTTTCCATTTTCATTTAGCCACCTCGTGCCGGGCCCTGTTCGTATTTTCAACCTCTCGTTTTTGAAAAGCATGAAACTCTTGCTACGGAAAGGTCAATAACAATACATAAAAAGTATAGAAAAAGATCGCAAGGGAGAAAGCATGCTTACAAAATTTTCGTAAACTTGCTGGCTATATGTGTATTTGCGGTATCTTTCGTGGTAGTGGGTAAACCCCCTCATTCCTTAGATATTAACCAAGTTGAATCTTCATAAAGCCTGCAGAATTTTTGGATTCAAAAGCAAGAGGATAGAAATTATTCGCCAACCTAATGTCTATTGAATATAGTGCTGAAGGGCACTCAATATTAGATGAGTTTTTTTTTCACCGTACCATCATCAAGTATTGTATTCGAGGTCATCCTCACAATGGACAGGTGGTTGTGAGTGATAAGGTCGTGTGACAATTACTGTAATTACCGTAGCCAAGGACCACACGGCTAGTGAAATTTACGACATAATTATGCCTATAACTGGTTTCGGACGCCATCAAGTCGAATAGTAACGGAAGCCATAAAAACTGCAATGTGATGTGTGTTCTTACGTAGTAAAATATGTACTTCGTAATTGGTTCATGTTACATAGCTAGTGTTATTGAGGCATGTAAAGTGCGCTGTACGAAAAGCAAAATAATTCTATTGTTTTCTGATCAAAATATCCTTGCTTTTTTCCCCGAAAACAAAATTTCCCGTGCAATTTCAATAATTCTGTTGAACGACATTGAATGGTTTCACCAACCTGCTAAACGCGTCTACGGCTTTGCAAAAAGCGTTGATACGGACCCAATTTTGCGGGCCAGAAGCCAAGTGGATCCGTTTGACGCGCAA